TTCAATGGTTTAATTTCAGACTTTGATAAATCCGTATGTTTGCTCAGTTTTTCCCATTGCGTCTGATCTTTTAATAACTCTCTACTGAGGCTAGCTATACGAAAATTAAAACAACTAGAACATTAAAAACTTAATTCAAAAATCAGGGTGTAACGCATTCTTAAAATCTCGTTTTTCAAAATAACCCTTAAAGTGTTCTACATTTGTTCATCGTACTGAAAACATTACAATTCTCTACTTTTCTGTGGAAAAGGTTTTTTTTTTATCCGATGCTGGAAAGGACCAACTTTGTATCGATCTGTTAATGTCAGAAAAAAATCCAAAGTTATTAAATAAGAAAACAGAAAACTCTTAATTATAAATAGATATGCTCCAATATCAGTAAGACTGGCACCCAAATGCTTTCTAATCCAAACGATTTGTCATACAAATAGTTTGTAACCAAATGATTCGGCATCTAGATAAAGTGATATAGTTTAATGCGAGACTTTATACATTAACGTTTTTGTAAGGCCTTATACTAGAGTCCTGCGGGTTTAACCCGATCCCGATTCCAAAACTTTTTTTCGGATTCAGGTTCGGGATGGATTTCAGTTCACCTGAACGGGATCGGGATCGGGTTTGCTTCCGATCTCGATTCTTCTAGTTTGATATAGGGGGAGATAAGAGACAATTCTAAATAAATAAAAAAGAATAAAAAATAAGGAAAACGGACAGATGTTTCGCACTCGACGTACAACCGACCACGTGAATTTTATTTTTGTACTACTACGAGTAGAAATTTACTAATGTCAAAATGAAAGAAAGCACTTCTTCACTAGAAAAAAAAAATTTCAAGTTCGAGCGCGTTCGGGAGGGCTTTTATTTGAAAAAATTGGGATTGAAACTGGGATCCCTAAAATGGTATGGCGGGTTCGGAACGGGTTTTAAATCTACGAGACCGAATCGGGATCGGGTTCGAAAATCTCAAATCCGCAGGACTCTCCCTTATACACGATACGAAGCGTAGAACGTCTAATATTACATAATTTCAATTTTACACAATGATACTTTATTTCAAGCCCTCAAATCATTCTACATACATAACCGTTTAGATTTTGTTTACTTCAGTCTCTCAGCTGTTTACTTCAGCCTCTCTCGCCCTTAATATCTCATGCTTTTTCCGTTTACCTCCGGCTACTATTTGTTCCCTTTTGTTGTCACTGCTTTCTACTGTCTACTATGAAAGAATTTGTCAAGTTTGGACCATCACGGACTCAAAATCAGCAAAATAAACAGCATTCTTTATCTGTGTAAGCAGATTTTGAGTCTATGCCTTTCTTAATTGGTACTAATTAACGCTAATCAGCCAATTACTAACAGAATTGCACAGAGTTAAAAGCAAAGTCCGTACAAACATACAAATGGTTTTTAACTCTATATATAAAAGTATGGATTTTTTGTATTGTGTGACTCCATGAGTTTGCTAACATTTATGCTACCTCAAACGTATAGCATTTGCGAATGTTGCATATAGTTGAATAACTTCAGACATTTTGACATCAGTATTGACAAGAACTAACTGTATTTTTGAATAAGTGGAACAAGTGCAGCAGCAATCAGTTCAAGATGTAGAAAAAAACATTTTTATTTTGTTTAGGATGTCTTGAATTTGCATGTTCGATTTAATTCGGTTTATCAGGCTTCACTGAAGTATATGTTAAGCCATTAACTCTTCCTATTGTAATCATAACCACACGAACAAGAACTAGAGAGTTACATTTTATGTATATATATATAAAATTGTCTACACGCGAGTCGCACCAAGTTAGTAGATATTTTGTGGACTAATTCCCATAAGTGACTCAAACTTTTCATTTCTTGCACAGGCCAATTATACACAACATGAACATTACACTGCATGCAAGAAAAGAAACATCGCTTTAAAACGATACGGTAATAATGTAACAGAACGTCGATCTTCTGCTAGAAAACTGACTCTAACGCTTTTGATGAAATTATGACTTACTAACCAACCGTTTAAGCGTGTGTATATCATCATTTCATAGATATTCTGTATTCTATTTTCTTATTTCTAGTATTCTATTCAATATTTTCCACTACAGATTATCTTACCATTTCCGCACGTTGATTGCAAGAGTAAATTCAAACAAACCTTTGTGCTAACGCATTCAAATTTGACTAAGTATTTGGATCAACATACAATAAAATTGTTCTGATACTATTCTGTATCACAGTACATATCGGCATCCTACCGGTTTGTATGGAAATGATCCATAATAGACTGATCTAAACATTACGAATCATACTTAAAGCATCATTTCAGGCATAAGATCGGTTGAAACACCGATAGCTAGTTCCTGTAGTTATGACATAAATTACCAACACCTCTTCTTACCAATGAAAAGCCTCCCCTAACTGAAGCACCCGACATAACTCCCCCAGGACTCCTGTCACGGGATCCGATAGGAAGTCGGGCGGAGCTTTTAAGGGACATCTAGGAGGCTAGCGGTTGTTCAAATTTCCGCGAGAGTCATGAGGAATCTCTGAAAAGCCCCGTATGGGATCCTGTGGAAGTTTTGCTGGAAGTTGCAACTAGAATCCTAAGATAAGATAATTACCGAATAGTGCCAATAGCAAATCATATTACGGCTAAATTGAAGCTACTGTTCACAGGTTTTAGTAATTTTCAATTATTCACTTTCGTAAACAAACATTCTGAGTTAGAAACTTGTTTCTACTCGTGCCCATGTATCTCATCGCGGTGAAAATGCTGATGAATTATTAGTACTCATATTCGAAATTGGATTCGACCAAGAGTTTTAAGTGAAATGTTCAGGAAACATAAACCAAATAATAAGTTGTACTTGAGCTTCAATCTATCTACATAACAGCCTTGAGTTATATGTATCAGGACAGATAAACAATATAACGATTGTTCTTCACTTTGTAATCGACTGATATAAATTAAGTTCGAATCTGTTTTTGATATTACAATACAATAAAGTTTTATTTCAATATAGACGATGCTATCATCGTTATTCATACTAATCTATTAATTACTGATTAATGAACAAGTTTTAAAATGCATGCCATCTGCTAAGTTATTTCTTTATAAGATGAACAAATACATTTCACTTGAGTAGTATTATTCTCCAAGAATTAGAAAACGTCCCGAAATGTAATCTACTTTTCAAACGACAATATTACTTAGTGATTTATAGCTGCACAGTTTGATTTTATTTTGATTGGTTACGTAGATAAATAGAAAAAATTATCAAAGAGAATATTTCGCAATTTAAGGAAAAAATCTCCATATCTTGCATCAGAAAAAGTTACAGAAGCTATGTATGCATTTCTAGCAGTTATCGACTATGACTTGATAACAAACTGAGACAAAGTAAAGATTGTGCTGTCTATTGTTATTCTTTCACAGATCTATTGAACATCAAAGTGTTGAAACTTTTAATATCATCATATTTATCATGAATGATTTGTGAAGAGTATAATCAGTCATTAGATGAACCGATTCGTTGTATGATTTATGTATAGTCTGAAAAGAGACATCATCCTTTATCAACATTTTGACACATTTTGGCTGTTATTGTTTTTCCAAAATGACTATGTATATATACATATATATACATATGTTGAACAAATGCCAACACAAGCACAACCAGACGAGTTCAAATAAAGAAAAATGAAAAGTTTGTTAGTTGAATTCTGTTACTACTCCCCCACATTTATGCACATGACTCTGTCTCTGCCATGTATGTACAATTCAAAACAATAACTTGACCCTGGAAAAAAAAGAAGAAACAGAATAACAATAGACGTCTGTCGATCATATAGATCTACACATCTATGTACATGTAGAAGAACAATTGATTCACTGATAATCAGCTCGTTCTGAAAAGCTGATTCTGTCTTCATTCTAACGTATGTTGTGATTCAGAAAATAAATTAGGAAAGCTCTTCGAGTAAGTCAGATTTGTTTTTTAAGCCAATTGATACGCAGCAATTGTTTGCTGCTAGATCTTATAGAGCAAAGATGACTTTTGATTGATCGTCAGAGACTTCGAAAGTTAACTTTGTATCAATAAGAAACTCAATACAGTTCATTTGAAATCTTAATCACGACATGTAAAATACAATGTTTATTACTTCAATTACAAAATTCACATTTTTCACGCTTTGCTTGCAATTAATTGTGAATATTTATCATCACAGAAATACGAATCAGCTCTGATATTTCTGACAGTCTGAATCAGCTTTTCAGACTGATCTGATTCTCATGAGTGCTTTTTTCCAAAAAAACAGTTTTCATTCTTTCATTTAGAACAGAAACGAACGTTCATCTCCATAATCGAATACGTATACATATACATACACATTTTATTAATAATATAATTCAGTTAGTGCTCGAGTCCACTATATACACACACACACAACATTCAAATTCTGAAACATGGCTTTTGACAATAATGCTCATCACGATTTTAATGCTGGTGTTACAACAACCACAGCTACATGTAAGCTGAAGATTTTTATTTTGATATTTAATTTAGATAGTGCAGACGAGATCATATTTCTTAGAGAAGAATGATCATTGAAAGAACTGTAATATGAATTCACAGTCACAAAATTTAATTATACAGGATGAGTTTCTACGACCTGTCCAGTTAACGGTCAACTGTTTCGTAAAAGCATTTATTGTTAAGATCATAGCGCTTTGTAGAAAGCTTATGCAGAGCTGGGAAATGTCTCATTTTAAAGAGCAAACATTTTCTTTTCATTAATGTGGAAACAAACGTTGACAATTTATCTCATTTCTGTATAATAAGTTTCAAACCGGACGCTATATTTGTACTTGTTCTTCTTTGTTTTAGCGAACTTTAGATCTGTAAATCTATTTACTATCGAGACTTGCTTAGTATTCAAGTTCAAGAAAAATGTCTCTTTAAAATGAGATGTCTCTCAGTTCTGTAAGTTTCCCTCATCACATTATAGAACGATCAACTTGATGAAAACGTAGGACAGTTATGCCGTTAAGCAGACAAACAGGGTGGTCAAAAGATTTTTGAGTTTTCTATCTATACTACTTGGTGTAGAGATTTTTGCAGCTTGTCACAACTCTGCTACTGCAGTATAATTCCGCCACATTTTTCATTTTTCTATCTGTTCAAAACTTATCCGAAAAAGTTCATATTTTTACTATATTTTCTAAATAAAAGAACATGTAGATTGTGCCAAAGTCTTAAAATATTCAGCACACTTTTCTCTTTGATATGATATGTTGCAGAGCTCTGGAGGCGTCTTCACTGGAGAACTACAGAAGAAAAAAAGTGGAAAAAAACATGACGGAATTACACTGCAGAGTTACGTGACAAGCTTATAACTGTTTAAATACGAACGTAAACCCAAAAAACGGAATGCACATTGGTTAATATAACAGTTTTTGCATCTTTCTTTATACCATCGTGCACAACATGTAACAATTACGAAGTAGATAGGATCTGAAGAAACTGAACATTCTGAAAATGACCAGCATTTCACGAGCTGTACAAGTATTGCATTTTTAAGAAAGCATACCATCGTATCATATGATTTTAGTGAGTTAGAAGAAAAAAGATGCACTATAATATATATGAAATAAAGTTGCAATAAAAGTATCGTTCTTAGGAAGTAATAGTGCACTGAAAGTGAAGAACAGTTTCTCCTTTAATTACTGGATTCTACAATTAGTCAACTTTGAGAAGCAGAGAAGTTTAGTTTAAATATTTTTCCTGTTCTAAATGTAAAAAACAAAAGTTTTGTTTAATTTGTTCTACTTGTTAAATGTGGTAGGTTTTATTTTTAGTTTCTGTCATAAAAGTGGCAAATGCAACATCTGAAAGTGGTGCCAATGTTGGTGCGGTCGTTAGTATTGATAAATTAATGGTTAAATCGTGTCCACCGTCAACTATCGTTACTGATTATCCAAATGGCTTTAATGCTGTACTCGTTGTTTTATTATCATGTTTGCTAGCATTAATATTTTTATTAATTCTTCTGTATTATTTGGGTAAACATCGTCTTCGATATTTAGCTCGTGAAGATGAAAAAATTCTTCTACCTACAACAGTAATAGAAAAAAATCCAACACAAACAACTTCAATTATCAATGAAATTGATCGTACGGTTAAAACATCATCTTATCATGAAAATGCACCATCACTTCTTAGTAAGCATGATTCGAATCCATTTAGGGAAAATAGTTTTTCCAATGTTCAAATAACAAATGGGCAAATATTAGATGGTACTAATAATACACAATATGTAGGAGAAGATTTAGATACAAATAAAGCAAGCGAATTACATTTATTACAACATGAACATCATTAATCGTCCGTTGATCATCGAAGCAAACACAAAGACATTAATATAGGCTAATATTTCTTTTGTTTTCTTTCTTTTTCATATAATGCGCATACCATGAAGATGGTATATATATCTATGGGAATGTGAATGTTGAGAAATCGAAAAAATATTCAATATTTATTTCATGTTGTAAAATAGGCGAATATTTTTTCTCTTATTAAATTTGTTGTTGTTGTTGTGTTAGGGAAAATAAGTGTGTCACTGTTTATTCATTTTTCTTTGTTCAGTCCAATTTATATAATGTAATTAAATAATGTTATCTTATCATAAGTTCATATTGAATAGAACTTATTCACATAGACGAAGTACTTATATTTCAAAAAACCTCAATTTGTCAAGAATTTGTGACCATTACCGTTGCTATGATATAGTGCTATTTTTTGTGAGGATAACAAAACGCAAAAAAAGCAAAGTCAAACAAATAGTTTCTCTTGGCTAGTTTCAAAGATGAGTTGTGCTGTACTTTTTAAGGATCATTTGTTTACTGAATTTCCTTCATTGAAAGATAAATAAATAAATCCAAGTAATTCAGAGAGTCAAGTTATTCTCACATTGCCACTAATAAAGAACGAACTTTCATATAAACTGGTAGTAGCTACTAAATGTCTCACGTGTTATTGTTTTTTGGTTTAATTATTATTTCACATAAAGTCAGAAAATTCTCATCGCTCATCAATACACAAATAGAACAAGTTAAACATTAAAAATAAAAGGTCAAAGTAAAGAATTGGCTCAGAAAATAAAACATCGAATTACGATTACTTTATATTTACACAAATTTATGGCAATAATGAAGACAAGGGATTAAGAAGGATTGCATAAACCCATAGCATAAATACACAAAATAAGGCTCTGAAAATAAAAATAAATGGCACAGAAAGAGAGAGGAATAAAAGAAGAAGAGTCTTTTAAATATTCAAACACAAAAATGTGACTATAGAGAGAGTGCATTCATTCACCGGTAACACTATTAATTTTGTTCACTAACATCATTTTTAAGTGTTTCACATTTTACTTGCTGTTGTTGTTCTCGATAAAAATCGGCACACGATGACTTTGTCATTGTTGATGGTGAAAATAAATGATTTTCAAGTACTGTATTTAAATGAGGCGATTGTGGATGATAAAGTTTTGATATTGGAGGTGAATTAATTAAATTATGCTCGTTGGAATTCATTTTCAATATACAAGGTATTATTGAATCAATTTGAACATTACCTAAAACAAACAGACAGAATACTCTTAAAAACAATTTGAATATAAATTCTCTACTCTTTTGTGTGACATTTTAAAGTTTAAATCTTTTATAATTTATATAACTAAAGATATGTACGTTGACGTTTAAGAGAGAATCCATGAACATACCAAAGATACCCCCCACCTCCTCAATTTCAAAATTCGTTTTTGATCACAGATTCTGAAAGAACGTATACGATTTGGTCAGAAAACTATTAAAAATTCTTTTTGA